AAGCTGTTTTAAAGCAACATGAAGTATGAGAGTTCACTTTATATTACTCTGAAAAGTCCGTAATACTGAGGCTATAATATCTGTGTCATTAGTGTCTGTTTAACCTGTGCTGTGGAAACTCAGCACGCAACCCGATTTATTTGCAGTTATTCTGAAATACGCACGGCGGGGTGCTGCGCTCAGTTCCCAACTATTTCTTTTCACTAACACGACAAGGTCCGGAGAAATGATGCTGCTCTGCGCTGTCACTGAGGGAGGAGTTTAAGGTGTGCAGGAGGAGGTGGAGACTATATGGACTGCATGTTTACAAGTGATTCATGTATTTTAAAAAACAGCTTTTACTATAACCTGCATAAAACTAGACCCGTTTTGGATAATTAATTGCAAAAGTTATGCATTTTTGCTACCACCAAAAGTTTATTTTGTTCCCCTTTTTTGGAACATTGTGTTATAGCCTACAACAGGATTTTACCACAGAGTAATGCTGTGCAATACTACATATCAAGTAAATATAGGGTCAGTATAGCTTTTAAGTCATAAATGCAGATCATGTTGGGGTGAGCAGTGTGTTGTGATTTATGGGCTCAGTCATCCTCAAATTGAAAATTCTGAACACATTTTCAATCTGATACCAATATCATCACTGTACTGATATTTGGATGGATCTGCCCACCTCTATAGGAAGGGTTCAGAGGCCGATGTGCTCCTAATACCTGTCCCAAGACCAGATAGCTCAATGCAGGTGAGCTGAGTTCTATCAGGGAGGGTACAGGGACAGTTCCCGGTGGCCTTGGGATCATTTTTGCCAGCCATGGACTTCAGCTGTGCAGGAAAGCATTGACAGGGCTCTGACAATCCACACATGTGGTGTGACTGTGTTAGGCTCACATAAAGACTGTTTGCTGTTACCAATGCATTTGTAGTTGTAGGGGACTGTAACACTGTCATGAGAACTCCCTCTGTTCCATTTATCCACAGTGTTCCCGCAGAGACGGAGACCTGCTGATCTTTGAAGGATTATGAAGAATCTCCAAACAGTTTAATAGTAAAACGGCACCGAAAACAAGAAAATAAACAATTTAGATTAAAGATAGATCATAAAAGGACTTAAGGGGCTCATAAGATTATAAAGTTACCTGAGCTGCCGTGTGAAACACATGAAAATCCCACGCTGAGTGGTCTCTTAGCTCCTTACTCTGATTGGCTGCTATACTTTGATCCCATTAAACTCTCTGCTCTGAATTATTTCTTCTTTCAGACCGGAAAATCATCACAGCGGATAGTGGACAGACTGCCACTCTGCCGTGTCGAGGTCCAAACAGCGACATCATAGGTGTGGAGTGGAGCAGAGCTGACCTGAAGACACAATATGTCCTTTTGTACCGGGACGAGCAGCTCGATCCAGCAAACCAGCATCCGAATTTTAAGGACCGGGTGGATCTGCAGGACAGACAGATGACGGATGGAGACGTGTCTCTGATTCTGAAGGATGTGAAGACTGAGGACACAGGAACATATGAGTGTCGTTTGTTAGATGGGAAGTCCATCAGCAGCATCTACCTGAGAGTTGTTCCTCCAGGTGAGTGAGTAGAGTTGAGTGTGTGTGTGATCAGAGGTGAAGCTGCTTCCTGGTTGTTGATGTTTGTTTCTAAAGATGTTGTTGATGAGACTTTGTAGAAAGCAGCTGGTCTGAGTGATGTGATCAGAGTGCAGTAGATAATGTCTGACAGCAGTTTGAAGAGGAAATGGATTCTGTTCTGTTCTTCACTCATCACCTACCTGACAGCTGACACCTCACACCTGTTTCTCACCTGCAGGTCAGCCAGGAGGACAGAGTGGAGATGGAGTGAACGAGGATGGATTTGTTGGACTGAGAGCTGGTCTGCCTCTTCCTGTGATGTTCATCATTGCTGGTGTATTTTTAATTTACCGAAAACATAAAAAACGCAGGCGTCACGGTTTGTACTATCATGTGTGAACTGAAACTCTTTGTTGCACTACATGAAGCAGGAAAATGGGAGCGGTTTACAGTGGAGATGTGGCCATTACTTTTATTTATTTTTTGCACAGAAGGACAACAGAGCAATGCTAAACTGCAGTATACTGCTAACAGAACTTTGGCTCTTTGCAGCCATTTGCACAGACAGCATGCTAACACTAAGTTAGCCAATAACACAGAGTGTTGCTGAAGCTGGGTGTATGCTGACCCCAGCCCAGCAGCCAGAGTCTGAACTTGAACAGGTAACAAAGGCAGAGATGATCAGTCAGACTTGAAATTGGTGTTTCTACCTGTCCGTGTTTCTATAGTAGAGCAGCTGTGGTGATCACTTTGAAGTCATCTTTGCTTTGTGTTGAAACCTGAATAATAAAAGAAAGATCACATGTGTGTCCTCATTAGGACAGGGAGTTTTGTTGATGTGTGGGACTCGATGTAATGACACCAAAGCTGGTTATAAGACACAAACACAAGAATCAAACTGAGCTGTTAGAGTTCATGACAGAAACTGAGTAATTTGTCATCACATGAAGTCAGATTATATCAAGTAATTAATAGACATGGAACTATTTTTTTCTTCTCTCCATTAAGTGTTTTCTCTTAAAGGTGAAGCTAGTTTTCCTCTCTATGAATTATAATGTAAAATGTCCTGTTTTTACAGTTTTGTAAACAAATCTTTATATTTTATAAGCTAATGCTAACAAAAACTGTTTCATTTGTGAATGTGAAGATATCCTGTAAGTTGTCAGATTAATGTAGCTATTACAGTAAAATGACTCTTTGCACAGATAAAGCTTTACCTCCATGTGTGAGTGATCGAAGCAGATGCTGTATAGACATGTTTGGATTCACTGAAAGTCACAAGAACGTCTCGTGTGATGTGCACATTTAAAAACAGGGTCTAAACGGTAAAGATGATTTGGTAGACAGAGGATGGAGGGTGAGTGGATGGATTGATGGATATTTTTTTATACATCCAAATAAGAAAAAATGATTATAATTAAGGATTAAACTATATCACTGTACATTCATGCTACTGGAAGGATTCATTAAATAGGATAACATCAAGTGAAACGCTACATGTATAAAGGCTACCTTACACCACAAAGCCACGCTCTAAAAAGCTTTCACAGATTTAACACTGTCTGTGAAGCTGGAAATAAAGTTTCTATTTTTAGAGTATGTTTGGCACCATGTTGTGCAAGTACAGCAGGTGATGTTACTGGGTTGGTTGGCTAATAGACTTCTATTCATTTATGTTAGCTAACCAGTGACAGATCAGATTACTTGGTGTAAAGCGAGAAGCAGTAAAAGGGTGTCACTTTTGTGAACCACCAGTGTACCTGACTCAACCTGGCTCTCCTCCTCACTCTTAAAACAGGTGGATTTTCATGTTTCAGTTCAGCTAGCCGATGTTGAAGAATCACCTGCTGCTAAAGAGAGTGAAAGTGGGCAGTATATCCTTGGTTTCTTAGTATTAAATAACTCACTGTTGCAGACAGGGACAGTACAAAATCGTCCCCTTAGACTGATTTTTAGTTTTAGTTTCCATGTTTTCTGCTGAGTTATTGGTTCTGTCATTATTTAGCTAACATAAACTCAGGTATGTCTTATTAGTTGCAAGCAATCAGCCAACCCAGTGATGTCACGCTACTGACACAAGATGTTTTAAATCCAGCTCCACAGACAGTGTTACATCTCTGACAGTCCTTGAGTGCAGGGCTTCATGGTGTAAATTAACCTTTACACGTGTAATGTTTCATGTCCACTTTAAATACAATGCAGGGATTTAGTGTGACACATGGCATACGTCCAAGTGAACACATTTACGTTAATTACTTACATAAAAGTCTTCTTAACTTACAAAGTTTTTCTATCAGGCTCTAAAGATGTCGTTATGTAAACTTTAACAGATTGACAGGTGACAGGATATGATGTATGCTGCTGTAGTGAAACTGGAATGGGGTTTAAAACTTGTGATTTTAACACAGATAATTTATGCACTTTTTAATTTTATGATGTTTAAGACTTTGAAAAAGTATTTTCATGAAGTCAGAGCTCCTATCTTGAGAGCACAGGGTTAGCTTAATGTGATCAGAGGCTGAGGAGGGGGAGAAGCTCCACTTTATCTTTGTGGTAAAACATTTCACTGTGTTTAAAGACATGAATAAAAACTGTGTTAAATCAATGTTTGTGTGCTGACTGTGTTGTTTTCTGGTAGAAGGAAGTTTCAGGAGGAAAAGTTTTTAAAACTCAGAGAAGCTGTGCTGAGCTGTATGTTCCTTCCAGGCAGACGCAGATCAGTTAAGTAAAGACGGCTAATGCCCAGGAGTGCAGGGTGCTGTCCTCAGACATGCAGTTTTACTAACGCACAGACCTGATAAACCGAGAGAGTAAGGAGCGCTCTTCCAACAAAAGGTCAAAGGTCAGTAAATCTAACATAAAATCCAAAGCAAAGACTCGTATATAGAAATGGTTATTAGTGATCAGACGTAAGTCTGAATCTGATTTTGGGACATGTGACTGTGAAAGGGTTTTAAAAAACTGCTAATTAATAACCAGATAATACAGACCAAAGAGAATTGAGGGAAACATTTACAGGCTGGATTAGAAAAAAATCAAACAAAAATTAAACATCTTATTTGGTCTCTTATGACAGAAAAACGCTGAGCTCAGGCATTTAAAGAAGACATTAAGATTAGAGACATGTTGCCTCACACACTGACCACACATTGGTCTTTTTGTAGAAAGTATTTGTTATTAGTATCATGTAGTCCATCCCAAGCTTCTCATTGACTCTTGAAACAAAAGGCAGTAAAGAGGAGAGGAGAAAAGTGTGACCGCCTTTGCCGAGAGCCAAATGAGAAATATAAGATTTATATATACCTTTTCCATATGGGTGTGTCATCTGTCCATAACTCTGGTTTTCAGAGCTAGCCTAAAGCTGCTCTCAGAAACATGGAAAACACACAGTGACAAAGGCTTAACTCAGTGTGAACACACCCAGAAATGATTAACAGCATGATCAAGGAACAAAAAGTCGGAGCTTAAATTAGACTCACAGTTTTTTAAACATGCTTTATCTGTGTCTGTAGCTCAGACTGACATTTGAACCAGAAGAATGACACATTAGAACATTTACTCAGCTCGCCATCAGTCTTTGTTCAAACAGCAGGGACCAAACTAGGTGCAGAAACGCATTAATGAGGTGTGTCTGTAGGAAATGTAGATATTTATTTTACCTCTCCAAAAGCTGATTCTGTTCATCTGGACGTAGCGTTTTGTGGGAGAAACGTTTCATCACTCATCCAGGTGACTTCTTCAGTCTCAGCTGACTGCAGGTTTCCCCAAATCTTATAAACAGGACATTTACATAATGACTGAAACCAGCCCACTGAAGGAACAATGGGCTGGGAGGTCAGTTCCTTAATCTTAATTATGCAAATTCTCATGACCATTGATCAACAACCACTGACCAAAACCCACTGATCAATGTACCATTCACAGAGAGTTGGGGAATGGCTGTAAGATGGAGAAAGATGTACCCTTAGACCCCCTCCTCTATTCAGAGATGATCTTTCCCTTTTCATGTAAAT